TTTAATTTTGGATTTTATGATACATTCTGTAGAGTTTATGATGTCTGCCCCCCAAATCCCACCCCCTGACTGACTTTCCCCATGTTATTACAATAGTATAGTCCTTCATATGAGTTATACTTATGAATGTCCTTTATTTCTCTCTGAATTTATAAGATTTTTTTAAAGGAAAACTGTTTGACAGAAACACAACACCTGCTCCCTGTATGACGTCACCCCGCCACAGGCTGCGCCACTTTCTAGGGCTCAAGATTTTTTTTTTTTAATTGTAAAGGCAAAGTTACAGAGAGGGGAGACAAAAAGACTCTGTTGGTTCACTCTCCAAATGGCAGTTAAGGCTGGAGTTTAGCCGATCTGAAGCCAGGAGCCAGGAGCCTCTTCTGGGTCTCCCAAGTGGTTGCAAGATCCCAAGGCTTTGGACCATCCTCTATTGCTTTCCCAGGCCACAAGCAGGGAGTTGGAAGGGAAGTGAAGTAACCAGGACATGAGCCAGTGCCCGTATGATATGCTGGCACTTGCAAGGGCAGGATTAACCAATTGAGCCATTGCACTGCACCCTATATGGCACATATTACATCACAGTTATTAAAACACTCAAGCAAAAGGACAGACAAATCCTTGTTCTGTGACCTCAGCAGCCCCTCTCGGTTAAGGACAATGACTCAGAGCTGAGTGAAGGTGACAGGCAGCCGCAGATGCCCTAATCAGCTCTCCCTCCCCAAGGCATCAGCAGGAGTCGGCTTAGAGACAAAGCTGACTTCTAATCTTGCTGTGTGGCAGTGACCCCACCTGCCATGTAGAGTGGCCACTGCCAGGCCTAGTAGAAGGCGTAATGGCATGATGGTTTTTGACTGCTGGCCTGCGGTCAGATCTCTGCCTCCAGGCCTGCTGGACCCACGGGCGGGGGAGGAGCCCATAGCTCCTCTGTATCCCTCCTCCTATTCTTTGCCCATCTCTCCAAGTGTCTCTTCCCTTACCCTTTTTAGAAGTGCATACCCTGGAATAAGCCTCTCCTGCCTGAGGGCATGTGTGCCCTGCCAGGTGCTGGGCGACCTTCTAGGGCAGTAATCTGCTTTGGGCTAAAATGGGACTTGAGCTTGTGTTAGCCCTAATCATCAATTAGCAGCCTGCTGCGCAGAGCCAGCCAGGGTTCCAGACTTGGCACCTCGCTGGCCTCCCCTAACCTCAGTGGCCTCAGCTACCTGCCGTCTCCTTCCTTGGGATTTTAAGGCTGATGTGTGGCAGGCCCAGAACTGAGCCCAGTCCTGAGTGTGATGATGGCCTAGGGCAGGCAGGACCAGCCGAGGGCTACCTTGGGTGCTCGGTCACCCTCTTCTTCCATCACAGCCCCATTCGGAGGACAGGGGACAACTGGAGTGCAGAGAAAAGCGCCAGCAGCCGTTCTGCAGCAGATGTAGACAAAGAGGGGACCCTGCTGGCTGGCGATCTCAGAGGAGGCCCCCTTCTGGGTCTCAGTCCTGAGATTGCTGTGAGTCCTCAACTCCAAGGCACACAGGGACTCTGCAGGGGGGGACAACCCTGGACTGGGGAACCACAACGGTGTGCGCATGTATTCCAGGGATTCCCCTCATTACATCAACCTGGTGTGTGAGGCCAATGGCCTTGGGCATGCTTTCAGGCATGTTCACTGGCTAGACAAGCATGATCAGGAGCCGGTGCTCACCCAGAGGAGCCACCCTGTGAGCTCAGGGTGCCCTACTGGGCCTTCGCAATTAGAAAGATCCTAGTGGAGGGAAGTGGGAGCTTTGTCTCAATATTTCTAGTAGGTAGGCAATATCCTTGTCATCTAGCCTGTCCTGAGTGTCTGCGCTGTGCTTGCTCACACGTAAGCCACTGTGGGAGACTCGGACATTCACAGCCAGAGGACAGAGTGGATCTTAAGGGCCCTAAGAAAAGGGCATGGGCAAAGCTACAGGATGTGGCCCAGGGGGACCTTCAGTGAGAAAAGCCTCTGCTGGGCCTTGCCTTCTCCCCAGAGCCATCATCACTGGGAGTTTCTAAGCTGACTCCTGCTGAGTTGAGTGCCTCAGTGAGGGAGAGCTGATTAGGGATCCTGCAGCTGCCTGTCCCCGTCACTAAGCTCCCAGCTCAGGCGGCAGCCACGGCCTCTGTCCTTAACCGCCTGGGGCTGCTGCAGCCACAGGCCAAGGCCAGGCCGGAGAGCTGCTCCGCCATTTGCCTCTGAAGCTCATAGGGCTGTGGTCAAACACACAAAAAAAGGGATATTCTTTTTAAAGATTTACTTATTTTATTGGAAAGATTTCCAGAGAGAAGACGTAGAAAGATGTTCCATCCACTGGTTCACTTCCCAAGTGACTCTAGCGGCTGAAGCCGAACTGATTCAAAGCCAGGAGCCTCTTCCGGGTCTCTCATGTGGGTGCAGGATCCCAAGGCTTAGGGCCATCCTCTGCTGCTTTCCCAGGCCACAAGCAGGGAGCTGGGTGGGAAGTGGAGCAGCTGGGACATGAACTGGTACCCATATGGGATGCCGGTGGATGCAAGCAGAAGAATTTAGCCACTGAGCCATCCCACTGGGCTCATAAAATGGGATATTTTGACTGCAGGGTGGAGAAACCTTAAGTGCATTCGCCTTGCAGCCATCCTCCATGATCCTTCTTCCCAACTGGAACGGGTACTCCTGAATCACCCGGTCACAGCCTCCCGCCAGTCCCTGGCACCTATTGTTTTCCTCCCTATGTGTTTGAGTCCTCAGGGCTCATCCTGTAAAGGACATCGTGCCTGAGGACTCATGCGCTTGTCTTGTTGGGCATTCTGTCTCCCAGGATCACCATGCTGGAGCATGGGTCCTGACCCCCTTCCTTCCTGAGACCTAATAATATGCCACTGTACATCGCTACCGCATTTCAGCCATCCTTGCATCAGCTTGGGTAGCTGCAACCTGTCTGAGTCACTGTGAATCATTCTGCTTTGCAGTCACGTGGCTAAGATTCACAAGCAGAAATGTCTGATAATATGGTAATTTTGTTTTGTTAGATATTTCTAAGGTTATTATTTTTTAAAATATTTATTTAATTTTTTATTGGAAAGTCAGATATACAGAGAGGAGGAGAGACAGAGAGGAAGATCTATCCATTGATTCACTCCCCAAGTGACTGCAACGGCCAGTGCTGCACCGGTCCGAAGCCAGAAGCTCTTCTGGGTCTCCCACGCGGGTGCAGGGTCCCAAGGCTTTGGGCCGTCCTCCACTGCTTTCCCAGGCCACAGGCAGGGAGCTGGATGGGAAGTGGAGCAGCCAGGATTAGAACGATTAGGTGACCATATGGGATCCTGGCGTGCGCAAGGCAAGGACTTTAACCACTATGCTATTGTGCCAGGCCCTCTAGGATTATTTGAAACAGAGAGAGAGAGAGAGAGAGAGAGAGAGAATCTTCCATCCACTGGTTCGTTTGCCAAATCCCTATAACAATCCAGGACTGAGTTGGGCCTAAGCTTGATGCTGACAGCTCGATTCAGACTTCCTGTGGAGGTGGCAGGAGTGCACCTGTTTGAGTCAGGGTCTGCATCAGTAACAAGCTGGATTCAGTGGGCAGAGTCAGGCAGCCAAAGCCATGCCCTCTGACATGGCGCACAGTCCCAGCTGCCGGAGTAATGCCTACCACTCCCTGATGAGGTTTTGCAAGAGTTTCCACACTGTTTCCCACAGCAGTTGTGTCATCACAATTTCATTTTAAAATACTTTCAGCACCCAGTAAACTCCCGGCTCTTTCCCGTGTCCTGGCAGCTACTGCAGTGCTTCCTGTTTGAGCGGAGTGGGTTGCTCAGTCTGCGTGATGGAGTCACACTGGGTGCCTTTCGTGCCTGGCACACTGTTTCCTGCTTTCGGCATGACATTGCTGATCTTCACCCACATGATAGCCTGAATCAGTCCTTCTCTCTCAGCAAAATCAGCTTTCTGGGTGGTTGGTAGCCCAGGCAGAGTGCTGGCCCAGACAGTTTGTTTCTGCTGCGTGTGGAACCGCTAGCCTGACGGGCAACACAGTGCAGGCACCAAGTGATGCCAAGAACCATTCCTGTTGTATGTGGACACGCTGAGGCTTTACAGGGTACCAGCCTTGAGCTTGACAGCTAGGGAATCTCGAGTGTGAAGCCCAGCACGCCCAAGAGGACGTGAAGGTTACATGCCCACACCTTGCCTCTGCGAGCTTAACACACCATGCAAAGAAGCAGCCAGCAGCGGCTGGGATTCGGATCCAAGTGTTGGGGGGGCTGTTTGAGGCTGGGAGAAGTGTGTGCTTTCCAGAGAGGGCCTGCAACCAAAACTGGGCCTGCAGCAGGCCACCAGTGCCTCTGCTAAGCATGCGTTCAGCATAGCGGCCTGTGTGGTACACTCAGTCACGAAGGTGATGCAAGGGGAGGTCCAGGAGAGGAAGAGGGCACTGAGCTGCTAGCAGGTGGCCTGGGCTGTGGCGATGTGTGCCTAGGTCCGCTGGTGGCTGAAACCGCTGCTTGGATGACAGTGCGCTGGAAGCAAGAAGCTCGTGGAGTGGGAGCCTGCCCTGAGGCAGAAGCCCCTCCGGCGCAAACTATACCCAGCTGGGCCCACTGAGCTGGCATGTCCTGCAAGGAGCCTGAAGCCCCAGACTTGGCCCTACAAAGGCCTCTACTTTCCAGGCAGCTCAGGGCGCACCCAGAGCTCAGCTATGCAGACAGGACCCAGTGCCATGTGGCTCCCGGCAGCACCTCTGTGAACCAAATGGGAAGTTTCCAAGTTTGGGGCCCAATAATCCATCTGAGCTGCTCCTGAGGGCTGACCTTAGGAGTAGAGAAGTAGCGCTGGCAGGACAAGGATGAGGATGACGATGGGGACGAGGAGAAGGTCTAAGTCCCAGCCCAATTAAGAGATCAATTAGATGGCAAGGGGTTTGGGAGCTTCTAAGGTGAGGAGGCCTGGGCTGATCCCGCAAGCTGCTATAAAGTGCCATGTCCCCCAGCAGTATGCCAGGGTTGTCGGCAACGAGACAGGATTGTCCGTAGCCATGTCACAGCCGTGGGACCCCCAGAGGCTCACGGGCAGGCAGCCGCAGCACAGCCACGAGGACAGCACACAGGCGAGCATCTTCACCTACACCAACAGCAATGTCACCAGAGGTGAGCGCAAGGACCTTGCACTGGAGGCCGCTGGCCACACCCCCTCCCTAGAAAAGTCCCTCCTCTGCTGCCCTGCCACCCACGAGGGTCTCCTTAGCTTTGACAATGCCCAGGAGGCTTCCTTAACTCTGTCTTTGGGCCCCGCCACCATTGCATGTAGTACTGAGCTCTCATCGCGGGGAAGTCTGCTCACCTCCACTGGTTTGCATCACCTCAGCTTCCCACACAAAAAGCCACCTCCTACTGCCTGCACCTCACTGTGAGATCCCAGCAGGGAGAGAGGGTGTCACTTGGAACGGCCACTGCGAGGTTTTCTGTGAGTCAATAGAAAGAGAGGTCTTCTACATGCTTCTGCACTCCCTAAATGACTGCAACGACCACAGCTGGGCCAGGTCAAAGCCAGAAACCTGAAACTCCATTTGGGTTTCCCACATGGGTACGGGAGCCCAAGTATCCAAGACATCTTCTAGGGCCTTCCCAGGTACATTAGCAGGAAACCAGGTCAGAAGTGGAGTAGCCAGGACTTGAACTGGCACTCAAGTGGGATTGCTATTGTAGGTAGAAGCTTACCACAACACCAGCCTCATAATTTACTTTTTGAAGACAGCAAGTCCTTGTCCCTTGCCCACATTTTGCATGAGCTTTCCCTTTGATGCCATTTAACGTGCCCTGAGCTTGTTCATCATCATTCTTCTATAGACGGAGTGGTGGTGAATCTGAAGGTCCGCTCAGAGCACAGGGTTTGTGAGTGTGCTTTGCCAAGGTCGATTGTTTTCCCGGACTTTGGGTAGAATTAGAACATCATATAATTAGTTTTTAAAGATTTATTTATTTTTATTGGAAAGGCAGATTTACAGAGGTGACAGGGGAAAAGATCTTCCATCAGCTGCTTCATTCCCCAGATGACCACAGCAGCCGGAGTTGGGCTGATCCAAAGCCAGAAGCCAGGAGCTCTTCCAGATCTCCCACACGGATGCAGGGTCCCAAGGATTTGGGCCGTCCTCGACTGCTTTCCCAGGCCACAGGCAGGGAGCTGGGTGGGAAGTGGGGCTGCTGGGATTAGAACTGGTACCCATATGGGATGCCGGGGCTTGGAGGTGGAGGATTGGCCAGTTGAGCCAGCATGCTGGCCACAAATCACCTGATATCATCTAATTGTAGCTTCTGACTTTCTCTCACAGACACATGTCTGAAGACACTAATGCATTTTCCAGTCTCTTAGGACAGTTCCTCTCTATGTGACTTTGCTCATTGAGTTGGGATGCATTCAAGTTCATTTTTTCTTTAGTTTTTCTTTTTAAAGATTGTTTCTAAATTTAATTTTATTACAGAACAAAATATATACAGGGTTCCAAATAATAGTCTACAAAGAAGTCTACATTTTCTGCCCACTCTTCCCTACATGCCTTCACACACGCGCACACACACGGTTGATTTATTTGAGGAGACAGAGAGGACGGAACACCCTGGTGTGCAGCTTCCCTCGCCAGTGCCCACAGCAGTTGAGACCAGGCGTGGAGTTCAACATGGATCCTGCACAGTCATGGCAGCTGCTGCGTCTCAGGATGTGCTGTACCAGGAAACTGGGCTTCGGAACAGAACCCAGCTGACCGAAGGCAGATGCAGTCTTACGGGACGTGAGTGTCCCACAGTGGCTTCTAGGAGTTAGCAGTGTCTGAACTTTGCAGCTCTTTCAAGTAGTGTCCAAAAAGTTACTTCCAACACAAGGAGCTAGGGACAGCCACTGCACCCTGGAGTAAAGGAGTTAGCTGCCCTCCGCAGGGCTTTAGCGTTGTGTGAGCTCCCTGTGGCTGCCATAAAGCAGCATCACATGCCAGTTTGTCTTGCCCAACAGGAATGTCTTGACTCCTGATTAAAGGGACCAGAAGTCTGAGAGTCAGGTTGGTGACAGGGTGACTATCGGGGTTCACAGTCCTCGGCTGTTAGGCTGCCAGGTGACCCGTGGCATTTTTTGGCTGTGGAATCGCCTCTGTTGTTCTCTGCCATGGTCAATCTCCATGTACATACCTCTGTGTGTCTTCAAATTTCCCATCTTTTTTCTTTCTTTCTTTTTAAAGTTTTATATTTTGATAAAGTTCAACTAGGAATTAAAATTTGTTTTACTTTGATTAAACCCATTTTTAAAAGATTTATTTTATTTGAAAGGCAGAGTTATACAGAGAGAGATCTTCCATCCACTAGTTCGTTCTCCAAGTGGCCACAATGGCCAGAGCTGCGCTGATCCAAAACTGAGCTCCAGGAGTTTCTTCTGGGTCTTGCAGATGAATGCAATATCCCAAAGACGTGAGCCATCCTCTGCTGCTTTCCCAGGCCAGAAACAGAGAGCTGGATCAGAAATGGAGAAGCTGGGATTTGAACTTGCACCCATATGGGATGCTGGTACTGCAGACAGCAACTTTTACCCACTACAGCACAGCAGGGGACCCGAGACTTCCACTTTTAAAAGGACACTGGCCCTATGGGACAAGAGCTCACACTAATTACCTCATTTGAACTAGATCACCTCTGCGAATACCATGTCTCCAAAAATGCTCTCACTCTGAGACATGTCTGAGATTAGAAGTCCATGGTCTGACCTCAGGGTATACCCACTTTGATTCATACCCCATGCATTCCTTCCCTGAGTGCCTGCTGTGCTGGACACTCTATTCAAAGGCAGGGGAGTCAGCCCTCTGGCTCATAGTGCAGTCCATGCCACATTCTGGAAGTTGGGAGTCTGGCCTTGCCTCTTTCCGGGGGCAGGGCACTGACTTCCTGCCGAGTTCACTCCTGGAAGAAGGAAGGCTCTAGAGCTCTCTGCGCCTCTTTCCTAACAGCACTGCTCCCACTCCTAGGGGCTCCACTTGCTCCACTTGCAGGACCTGAGTCCCCTCGGAAAGACCTCACTTTTCTGACGATGTCACCTGGGGGCTCAGAATTGTAACGGCGGTGAGGTGACAGATGGTCTTGCCAAGAGGCTGAGGTGGTGTTAGCTGGGTTGTTGGCAATGCTTCTTGAAGGTTAGCGTTGACCTCATCTGTAGTAGGCTTGATCTGGAGGAGCGAGAGGGGAGGGGACCCAACATGTCAGCAGAAGTTGCCGCAGCAGTAAGATGTGCAGCAGGCTCCCAAATCAGGAGCCCATGAGTGCCTCTTCAGGGCTGACACAGTTCCCCCAAGAGGGAGAGTCACATGGGGAATAGTACCTAGCAGAGCTGATGGAGACCCAGCAGGCACTGGTCTCTGGCTTCAGGGCAGGGGCTGGTGGCAAAGGCAAGGGCAGCAGCAGCAGCAGGGTCGGCAGGGGCAGGCAAGAGGGAGGCTCTGACAGAGCGTGGGCATGTGTGTTCATCCTCTGGCAGGGGTGGAGGACGCTGGAGCCGGGCTGCTCTCTCTACCCTGTGCCTCTCGCCTCCAGGCCCCTTTGAAGGCCCGAATTATCACATCGCCCCCAGGTGGGTGTACCACCTCACCACCGCCTGGATGATATTAGTGGTGGTTGCATCTGTCTTCACCAATGGGCTGGTGCTGGTGGCCACCATGAGGTTCAAGAAGCTGCGGCATCCTCTAAACTGGATTCTGGTGAACTTGGCGGTGGCTGATCTAGCAGAGACCCTCATCGCCAGCACCATCAGCGTGGCAAACCAGTTCTTTGGCTATTTCGTGCTGGGCCACCCTCTGTGTGTTGTGGAGGGTTACACCGTGTCCTTGTGTGGTAAGTTGCTTGGGACCCTGGGCTTAAGGAAACCCAGTCAGGCGTGCATAGTAAAAACACACAGCACAAGAACATGTGTGTGCGGTATGCATGTGTGAGGCCCAAATGCCAACGTGGACAGATTCCCAAAGAGAAGCTGGGCCAAGGTCATCACAGGGACAGCAAGATGGTGTATCACAAGATTCTGGAAGCTTCCATCTGCATGGCCACTTTAAATCAAACAGTCCAATTTTTAAAACAGGCTCTGCTGAGCCACAGCTAGTTTGGGGCTCTGTGACTGTCATGGGAGTAGTCGGGTATACTGCGAGCCAACCTCAGAATAGTATGGGACTATGACAAAATGCCCCTCCCCCCCCGGATCTGGGCCACACCCTGTCTCAGTTCCTGTGTCAGCTGTTCCCAGGGGAAGGCAGAGCTTGCAGCAGACCATTGTACACACTGCAGCCAAAGTCCAGTCCCATCAGTAACGTGTTGGTACCAGCATGCCAGGCCTTGTGCTTAGGATGGGACCTTTCCCAGAGGGTGACCACATGGGGCCCTCATCAGGATGCTCAAAATGGAGGGGTGAGGAGAAGCCAGAAGTCACTGGTGGCCAGAGAGGCTTCAGAAGGGTACAGAGTGCAAGCAAGTGACCAGGTGCCACTGAGCAGACCTCGGGCAGGCAGGCCCCGCTCTCTGGTCTTGAATATCACACTCAACAGCCAGAACTTTGGCACCCATTTTGATGTCATAGATGCCCTTAGCCTGCTGGAAAGCCAGGTTACAAATTCATAAACTGAAATCCATGAGGTTACTAAGGCAGCCAATTATACTGAAAATTGGTTACCAATGTAGGAAATATTTCTAATATTTAACTGCATCTAGTAATAATTTGAGAGAGGAAGAGGGCTCACCCCGCAAATGTCCCCAAAGGCCAGGCCTGGGGCAGGCTGGAGCTGGGAGCTGGGAACTTGGTGAAAGTTTTCAATTCGGGAGGCAAGAACCCAAGCACTTGAGCATGCTGCCTGCCAGGATGCAGTCACAGCGAGCGGAAGCCAGGAGCCATAGTCTGGACTGAAACCCAGGCATTCCGGTGTGGGGCTAAATAGCCACTCTATATGAAATACCAATAACTGCCATACTCTTTTTGTTAAAATCATTTCAGAAAATGATTAACAACACAGTTCTCTAGCAAAGCATAAAATGAGCTGCAACCTGACAACCACTGATGCTTCCCCATAGTGACGGGCACAAAGGAGACCTCTGAATGTCTGCACACCTATGACATACAGCCCTCAATGACTCCTCAGGCTAAGCAAGTCATGGGCACTGCTGCTACTGCCGTGTCCATCACAGAAGCCAGTAGCAAGTGTCTGTTAGTGGTCAGGGGAAAAAAGATGTCATTTTCTCCACCTGCTCCAAGTCATACAGCCCTGAATTCAAGGGAAGCCATCTCTCCTGCCAGGCAGTGTATGTGCAAGTATGTGTAAATAAGTGTGTGTGTGTTGTGTTGTGTTGTGTTGTGTATATGTGTATGAGTGTGGGAGCGATCTCAAGCCTATTTCCTGGATCAGGCCTGGGGCCACAGTACCTCGGTGCAGTTGTGTCACCAGGTGTTTGTAACTACATCAGAAGAAGGGCCAAGGGAGCGGAAGTGCCCATAGCCCCTGTGGCTGAACAAGTGCAGGGCTGTCAGATCGCTGTGATTCTTTCTTACTGCCTCTGTGCTGAAGGTCCTGCAGGGTGGGCAGAGGGTCCTGAGCTCTCTGTCCCCAGCTTCAGGATTCCACAGTGGTGGCAGCAAGAAACTCAGCGGCCAAACTTGGAGCTGAGACTCGTGCTCTGCAGGCAGAGGAGAGAAAGGAGAAAAGAGAAGGGGGAAGGGAAGGCGGACAGAAAAGAGGAAGGGAGGCAAAGGGAGAGGAGGGAAGGAGGGGTTGGGAAGCAGGGGGATGAGGAAGGAGAGGGGTGGAGAGGAGAGGAAAAGAGGGGAAGTGGAGAAGACCTGGGAGGAGAGGAATGGAGAAGGGAGCGGAGGGGAGAAGAGAAGGCCAGCCATGTCTTGCTTCACCTTAGCCTCTTGGTGTTTCTGCTCTCCCTGCAGGGATTACGGGGCTCTGGTCCCTAGCCATCATTTCCTGGGAGAGGTGGCTGGTGGTTTGCAAACCCTTTGGCAATGTGAGATTTGACGCCAAGCTGGCCACGGCAGGCATCGCCTTCTCCTGGATCTGGTCGGCTGTTTGGACAGCCCCACCCATCTTCGGTTGGAGCAGGTAAGGATGCAAGGGAGCAGGCAAGGCGGTTTGCTTGCTATGAAATGGGGTGCATCAGACTTTGTGGTTTCTGGGCACATGACTTCCTGTTGCTAGGCCTCCAAGGCCTCCAAGTGTGCAGCGCTGTGTGAATCACTGGCACTGCATACTAGGCTGTAAGGACATGTGTGCCATAAATCAGCCATATCCTAGCCCAGCTGTTTGCGAAAAACCACAGAGTTCTGAGTTAATGGCTTGTGTGTCTGAGGGTCAGGGTAGTCTGAGGGACAGCATGGCAACGCGTGCTGCAGTCTCCTAGGACAACCCCATGAAGGGGTGGTGTTCAGAGAGAGGCTATCCCTTCCTCCTGGGAACCAGATCATGGGCAACAGTCACACAACACTGACAATGACATCACAGTAAATTGTATAGGATGTGTACTCAACAATAACAGAGCAGGTATGGGCCAGGTTTTCACAGCTGTGACCAAGGGTTTCCTTTTGGGGGATGCAAACGTTATGGAGGTACATAATACTGGGAATGGACTGAATTCCACTCTCACATGGCGAAATTTATGTGATGTGAATTCACCTTCATTTCAAACAAATGAACCAAATAGCCAACCCAGCCATGTCAGTAACATGCTGGGATGGGGATCCCTTCCTACCAGGTACTGGCCGTATGGCCTGAAGACCTCATGTGGCCCAGATGTGTTCAGCGGCACCTCGTACCCTGGCGTGCAGTCCTACATGATGGTCCTCATGGTCACGTGCTGTATCATCCCACTCAGTGTCATTGTACTCTGCTACCTGCAAGTATGGCTGGCCATCCGGACGGTGAGCCCCGCTTTGTGCACACGGGGACAAAGCCTCCTCCAGGGTTCTCTCCTGACCCTGGCCAGTCCCTGGCACTCCCGAGATCTGACGATACCAGACCTGGAAAGAAATATTAAGTTTCTTTGTCCCTTAATGGGGCCGTTGCCTGTCCGCCTCCCCCCCAACCTGGAAAGCACCCCTAGACTGTGCTGCCACACCAAGGAGATGAGGCGGGGGTCCTGGATGCTGGGAGTTCTGCACTCCTTTCAAAAGTCACCTGTTTGCCAGTCACCGCACTGCAATTGCCAAGACGTTGGCTGGCACAGAGACAGAGAGCCCTCAGTCAGAGAGCAAGTAGTCACTAGCGCTTGTCGGGGGGTGGGGCACAGGCTCAGGACCAACTCTAGGCACCTTCCTGCCTTGGGCTGAAGGCTGCTGCTTGCTCCCCTAGGTGCCTGGCCACACAGCACAGTCACCATAACTGGCTCTGGCAGGTGCTCAGACATGGTCCCATGAGTGTTAGCTCTAGCTTGCTGGATTCCCAGCTCAGAAGCATGGTCTAAGGCTGTTGACCAGACACTCTTGGGCTTCCAGCCAGTACAGGCCCTTCTTCACCCACACTCAGCTACTTGCGGTCAGATCCCTCCCCACATGCCTGGATTCTGGCTACTCAAGTCACTGCTGGCATTGCCACTGGACACACACACACCTCCAACCCCATTGTCCATCTTGGTACCTCTCTCGTTTACCTCTTTATCCAGTGATCCCTTGAGGCCTCCACTGAGCCTAGGCAGGGCTCTGAGTAAGGGAATGCATGAGAGGAGTGAGATGAGCCAGCTACTTGTGATCCCAAAGGCAATAGGCAGTCCCTGAAGGCAGGTTGAGTTCTGACTAAGGTAGAGCTGGCTGCTGGCTGCCCCTCCCCCAGGACTCCCCATTCCTGGGCTGCCCTGCTCTTGCCACCTCTCTTCATCACTGCCCACAAGAGCCCTTTGTGACAGCTGCATGCTCTGTCGCTGCTTTCTTAGGTGGCCAAGCAGCAAAAAGAATCAGAGTCCACACAGAAGGCTGAGAAGGAAGTGACGCGCATGGTAGTGGTGATGGTCTTTGCCTACTGCCTCTGCTGGGGCCCCTACACCTTCTTTGCATGCTTTGCTACCGCCCACCCTGGCTATGCCTTCCACCCTCTGGTGGCTGCCATACCATCCTACTTTGCCAAAAGTGCCACCATCTACAACCCCATTATCTACGTCTTTATGAACCGGCAGGTAAGTAATACTGTCAGGAGCATGAACTGGAAATAGACCACAGGGAAATGCATGGGTGGCTCCTACTTGGAATTGCATCTCTGAGAAGGAGCCCACAAAACATCTGGGGGATGCTGATAATGACCTTGCAAGAAGAGGCTTAGTAAGTGATGCACACAGCCACTAGCAGAAGGCTTAGGCATGTCCTCTGGACCCAATGATGATCTTAGCCTAGCCCACTTGTGTGCTGGAGTATGGCCTACAGGCCCTAGGGCTCTCCTGGGATTCACAGGCTGCAGGGCTTCCTACACAGATCTGCACTGGCCCAAAGTATGCTCCTCTGGGGTTTACAGGCTCAATTCTTCTCTCGGTCATCGTCTTCCTGTTTGCAAACCCTAATGTTTTAAACCTGCTTTTCTGTGAGAGCAAAAACAGACCCTTCTTGGCTGTACCAGGGGCACATACTGTGATCTCTTCCAAGGTCTTACTTCATGGCAACTGCTGTAAAACCCACGTCTTGCGCCTCAGCAGCAAGTTGCCCATGACTTTGAGGCCTTCCTGGGAGATTCTGGGTGGACTCCTGAGGTTCATCATCTCCTGATTCTGGACACTTCATTAAAGTGCAAATGCCATGTGACTTGCTGGGGACTGCAGATGCCCACAAGGGCTGCCCATCTCACCAGAGCCTTTTCAAATGGTTCTATTTTGCTTATCCATCTTACAGCTGCCCTACCTGGGTTCCCAAATCACTCAGGCAGCTGAGTGGGCTAAGGAATTCTTCAGGCATGCAAACATCTTGCCAGTTTTCAAATAGCAGCACAGGTTGCACCTCAATTCCTGGGAATAATGTGGTGGGCATATCCATGCTCACTTTCTGTCTGTCATGAAGATGTCTTTGGAAGTCAAGTGTCAGCCACCAGAAACCCAAACTGTCAACTACCTCCTTCACCCGATTCTTCCCTTCCTGCTTTCCGAAGCTTCCCCTCCCATGTCTGCACTGGGAGACCTTCCGAACTTGGCTTCGGCTATCTGCACACTGGGAAAGACACTGGGCATCTGGTTCTTGTTGCCTGCAGCATCCCTCCAGGTCTGGCATGGAAGTGGGTGCCCAGCTGACTTTGGTGAACACATTCCTCAGCCTTGGCTGCTGCCAGCTCTTTGGCTGAGTCACTTCTGCTGCTTAGGCCTTTCTGATGTTTTTCATGTAAACTATTCCTTTATTTTCCTTTGGGAGAATTCTGAAAATAGAGGAAGTAAGAGGCCCAAAATATTTAGGCAACATCTATGGTTTGGGTTATCAAAACATTGTGGTTAATTCCAGGATAACACAAGACACAATTTGAGAAATGGAAAAACAAATTCTGCAAGGGTACCCGGTGCTCACCTGGTCCCAAAACTCATGGACTAGAAACAAGGTGGTAATTGCATTCCTTTGAACTCAAATGACTCTGAGCCTCATGCCACGTTTTGCAGAGGTGGGTACCACAGCTGACACCCCATTTTGATCCCCATCCCAGTACCCAAGACTGTCATAACAAGCTACTATAGGCTGAGTGGTTCCACACCCCTGCCTTAGAGCTGGCTTCTGCTGGTCACTCCCAGTTCTCACCTTTCCTTAACTTGCAGTGTAATCCTGCACTCTGTCTGCTGTCATCTTCAGTGGCGTTCTCCCTTTCTGCCCAAGGCAGCTTCTCTTCACCACTCTAATGGTAGTCTGACCTCACCCTGCCGCACATCTTACTTACACCTACAAAGGGCACAATGGGTCTCCACAAGGGACATGGAAAAATGTACACTGTGAGAATAGCCATCAGGGATGAAAAAATTTTGCACCAAAATAAGCTTAGTGCTTCATGCCATTTTCCATGAACTCTTTGGAGTGTTCTCGTCTTCCCAAATAAGGACACATTCATAGGCTCCAGTGGCCAGCACTCAAGCCCTTCCCTTGGGATGACACAGTTCAACACACCACAGTCACCATGAGCATCGCCATGCGACATGACCATTATCGCATGCAAGAAACAGCTGGGGACAGTAGGGCACGTGGCGGTCTTACCTCTAGCGTGGCACGCAGGCCCCTCCTGGCCTGCTCAGTGATGATTTCTGTCCCTCTAGTTTCGAAACTGCATCTTGCAGCTCTTTGGAAAGAAGGTCGAGGACAGCTCTGAGCTCTCCAGCGCCTCCAAAACTGAGGCCTCATCCGTCTCTTCAGTGGCACCCGCATGATGTCCGCCTCCTCCCTGCCACGCCCTCAGGGGCTTTGCCTGCTGTCCCCTCCTCCTTCTCCAGCCCTGTGAAACACTTTTCATTTCTCTTTGCTAAAACCACCGCACGTTGGGGCTGCCTGAGCCTCGGGTGTAAGGGAGACAGAGTAGAGAACAGCGCGTGGCAGACTTTAATCTTGCCCAACCCTGGTGTCTACAGGGGTGTGACAGTATCGAGGCAAGTTGGAGTGTGGGAGTGTGGGCCCAGGCTCCCATCTCACTGTATCCATGGTTAAGCAATCAGAAAGCCAAAGTGTGGCGGGGTGGGATGCTCACTGGGGCTCTCTTCATCCCCAGAAAGGGGAGGGACCCTGCGATCTAAGGCAACCTGCGAAGGTCCATCTTATGGGGACTTGGAATCCTTGGAGTCCAGTCTCCATCTGGAGGGGATCCATGCCTGCCAGTCTGTGGTGGGGATGGTGTGTCGCTTCTGCCACACGAGGGCCCCCAGCCCAAACAGGACGATGATGGTGCACGTGCGCAGGCGTGAGTTGACCAGTGACAGGGAGCATGCGCACATGCTGGAGACCAGGACCAACAGGATGCTGGTCAGCGTGAGGATCAGGCTCATGAATCGGAACAAAAACTCCTTGGGTCGTCTTCTAAGGTTCCCCGCCAACTCTAGCTGGGTGACTTTCTCAAGGGTTTCTAGCCTGGATATTCGGCTCTTGAAAATTTCCAAGAATTCCTGCAGGTGACAAAACACAGCTGCTCAGCACAAAGTAGGACAGAAGCCAGCCATGGCACTCCAGATGGGGGCATGCAAGTGACATGGCTGAGCTGGCTCGTTTCGCATGGATAAACAGGGAGGCACAGAGCTGCCAACCCTCGTCTCCCAACCCAGAGCACCTGTTGTAACTGTGCTCTCCGCGGACGCAAGCAGCAGCTCTCTGAGACACAGACTATGGGCTGGTTTTCAGCAACAGCCCTGGGGAGTGAGAACTGCAGTGCCCAAGTCTCCAAACCAACTCAGCTGAATGGTGGAAGAGACAAGCAACTGCTGACACGGGGCACTGCTCGCCCTTGAACTCTCAGGAGGGGATGGCTTGAGGATTTGCTGCTAGCCTCAGGCTGGGGGCCTTCAGAGCTTGTCTGCTCATTCTCCCAGCCTTCCCCTGGCCTCAGAGGATGTTGCAGCCCACCGCAGCTTCTCACCCATATTTCCTTGGCTCTCTCATAGGAAAGGTAGGCCATTTTCTCTTCAGTGGCAGCCAGGGTGTGCTTGACATGGTAAATCTCATCCAGGTGCCCCTGCAGGTGATCATCTACCTGTCGTTCCATCATTGCTCGCCTTGGAATGAAAAGAGAATGCATTCCTCCCTCAGGACCCTGCTCAGAGCCCAAGCTTACAGTGAGTGTTCTGTACTAGACTAGGGTTCAATGCTGCCTTTCTCCTCTCAACCTGGGAGTAGCCATGGCCTGTCTTCTCCTTCAGGGACTCCTAGGAGCACCCCTCCCCAAACCTGCATCAGTCACACACACATAGCCACACGTATTTTACATATACTTACTGTAGAGTAGCAGTTTTACAAAAACAGCCATGGCCTAGAAGTTGTAGAAACAGTTGCCCAAACTCACAGTCACAAAGGGCCCATGTATGCAGATGGGTGGGGTTTGGGGACATGGGCATCGAGCACACATTGGGGCCAGGTTTTCTTTTGGGAAAGGTGATAGCTTTGAGGGATAGGTGAAAAGTCTGCACACAGAAGCCTCTGAATTACACAGCTCAATTCTATAGGACATGAATTCTGTCTCAATTATGAAAAAAACCAAGAAGTTAATTGTGGAAATAATTGTACAACTCAGTAAATTTAATAAAGATAACTGAAATACAGTTAAAGATGTATTTTTTATCACATGCAAGTAACATCTCAATAGTCATGGGAAAAAAACCACAAGCAAAACACTGCCACCTGTCGTATATAGAAATATATAAACAGTGAAATTATTTTTTTAAATACATGGAAACAACATGCATGCAGAGGGAGATAGAGAGGTGGACTGGGATGAGATTGGGAAGGGTATAGAGAACGTCAAGTGAGTCTTTTAGAATTTTATTTCTCTAAAAAAATCCTTTGCTGTCAAGAAGCTCACTGCCTGCCTGTGGAAAGCCAAGACTTCGAAAGTCATTTCCTAATAGTGTTTCAACAAAAATGCTCCCCAGAGCCAGCTCCATGGTATAGTACACTGCTACTCTGCCTGCGAGCCAGCAACCAATATGGACATTGGTTCATATCCTGGCTGCTAAACATCGTGTCCAGCTCCCTGTCTGTGGCCTGGGAAAGCAGTGGAGGGTGGGCCAAAGCCCTGGAACCCTGCACCCACATGGGAGACCCAGAAAAAGCTTCAGGCTCCCAGCTTCAGATCAGCCTAACTCTGGCCATTGTGGCCATTTGAAAAGTAAACTAGAAACACACACACCCTCTCCTCTCTCTGTGTAATTCTGTCTTCCCAACAAACATAAATAAATATGTATTTTTAATTCTTTTAAAACTCCTAAAATAAAAAGAAAGAATGGAATGCTCCCTTTGTCTCTGCCCCTGGTGCTCCTCCACACAGACACAATGGGTGCTGCGGTGTCTAGCAGGCAAACACATGCGTTCAAGAAGCTTCTCTTGGCTGGGGCTTCCATGTAAGTAGGAAGACAATGCCCAAGAGCCTGTTGGCTCTTCATGAAGTCAGAGAATAGATTGTTTATCAATATGGAGATATTCTTGAATAAGAAGCTGTTAAACAACATTTTTTTAAGGAAACTCTTCGGTCTCCCCCTCCTCTCTGGTCCACTGCTCTTCCCTCCAGTATGACTTAAGGACCCCTGTCTGTCCAATATTTCTGGTTACAGAGGCAAATGGAACCCTCTGGAAAATTCTATACAAAAATGAAATAATGGGTAGCTCATCAAAACCTTCCCAAATATCCCTAAGATATTAAGATTCCCTCCAAAACAGATTGTCCTAAACTTTACTGATTTTTCAAAGGAGTAAAATTCTCTTTTTTAAAAGGGAGGTCTCAACTGAGTTCCAGTCTCTAGGTTCTGACCTGGCCCAGTGACGGCTGTTGCAGGAATTTAAGGAGTGGGACAGTGAGGGATAGACAGATGAGCAAACACGCACAAGGAGAGAAAAAGAGAGAGAATGGCCACGCACATCCACAACAGCCAAGGCAGGGCCAGGCTGAAGCCAGGAGCCAGAACTCCACCTAGATTTCTCATATAAGGATCAGGAATGCAAGTACTTGAGCCATCACCTGCACCCTTCCAGGATGGATGAGCGGGGAGCTGCATTGGATTAGTTGCATTGATCCCAGGCACTATGATAGAGGATGTGGATGCCCAAATCAGTGGCTTAAGCCCCTAGCACAGCCCCTAGCACTGGGAATATATTCTTGATATTCTCCAGGAACTGGTTTTCAGTAGATTAAGCTAGAAGCTAATGGCCAGCAACTTGAAGAAGTGAAAGTGTGCGCACGACTACAGCAGGGGTTGAGTAGCACAGGTATGGGCAGGTGTGCTTAAGACAGGCAATCTCACTTGAAATAGATTTGCAAGTGGAGGCACCAGAGACTAGAGTCAAGCCAACCAAGGAAAAGCCCAGGTGTAAGGGAATCATCAGAGCCATGGGAGCCAAGATTGGCAAATGTTAGGAAGTAGAATGGTGAAATGTTGCACATCAAATATGACTGCACAATCAAACAAAGTAAGGGAGGTAGAGTGTCAGCTGGTTGTCGACAAGGAATCCATTCAAGGATCTTGGCATGGAGTGGCCGAGGCCAGGTGGCTGGAGGCTGGGGGAATAGGAGGGCAGAAGTGATTGGGAAGTGAAGACCATGTTGACTCATAGAAAGAAAGACTCCAAGAAAGCACCCAGGATGGCAGACTGGTGATGGAAAGACTTGACCCCTAAAGTCCCCGAGGAAGGTGGCAGAGGTAGAAGCTGTGACAGGGGAAGAACTATTCTGGGTGGAGGGGGATGACAGGTGGCAGGAAACTGCCACTCCCTACTCTGCTCATGAAAGAGAGATGGAAGATGAAAAGCAAGGGGTCCCAGGAAGGACACAAGGCCAAGGAAGAAATGGGTAGGTGGTGGGGAAGTGGCTAGGAGCACTGGTTTTGAGGTCAAGTTGCCCCTCCTCTCTGGCACTTGCTTGCACCTGGCAGGTAGTCCTTCACAGAATGCACGGTAGAATGAATCGCGATAACGGCGCCTGTGAGGTATGCTTCAGGCGGCGGGTGAGGTGGTCCATCTGGGGCGCTGGCCTGCTATGCTGCAGGTAGACACCGAGGGAGAAGGGATGAGCCCTGCGAAAGGTCAAGCGCAGGAGGAGAAGCAAGCAAGAGGAAAACCAGAGAACGGTGGTGCTCCTGACGCTAAGGAGCAGCAGCACTTGATTATTTACTTACATTTCTTTTTATTGGAAAGTCAGATTTACAGAGAAAAGGTGAGTGAGTGAGAGGAAAGATCTTCTGTCTGCTGATTCATTCCCCAAGTGGCCCCAACAGCCAGAGCTAAGCCGTTCTGAAGCCAGGAGCTTCTTCTAGGCCTCCCACTTGGGTGCAGGGTCCTAAGGCTTTGGGCCGTCCCCTACTTCTTTCCCCAGGCCGCAAGCAGGAACTTGGATGGGAAGTGGAGCAGCTGGGATTAGAATCAGTGCCCATATGGGATCCTGGCGCATGCAAGTAGAGGTATTGTTAAAGATGTGCTTATTTATTTGAAAGGCATATTTAGAGTGAGATCTTTCACGGATTGCTTCGCTCCCAAGATGGCTACAATCACTGGATCTGCGCAAGGCTGGGGTCAGGAGCCAGGAGCTTCGTCCAAGTCTCTCCCACATGGGTGCAGAGGCCCAAACGCTTGGACCATCTTCTGTTGCATTAACAGGGAGCTGGATATGAAGCAGAACAGCCAGGACTCAAACTAGCACGCATATGGCAAATTTGAGGGCTGCTATGGCTTCAACGTCTCCACCAAAACTCAGGCTATAAAAGATGGGATGAGATGGAATTGTTAAAAGGCAATTCTGCAGGCCCCTAAAACTAACTTAAATCTCACATGTGGA